TAATTAAAACAACCAGCAATAACATCTTTTATTTATGCGAAAGCAAACGTCTAGCGACGATCGTCTTTGTCAGAGTATGTACTTATGGTAATATTTAACTTATCTAAATAAAGTAATGGAAGGAGTACAATATTTTCGAAATTCCTTGGCCACGTTAAAATAAATGAAAGAGCGACGAATTAAGAGATAGCTTATCTGTCTTCTTTATTTTTTAATTACGATTGTACTTTTAGGGTTCGCCGTTATTAAAAAATGTTTTATTATATTCTTGCTCAATGTTATATATTTTTAATGAACTAGATTACAAACATAAATTTAAAAAAAAAAAAAATAAAATAAAATGAAAAAATAATAATAAATTAAAATCAATGCATTTGTTCTAAACAGATGCAACTCTCCTTCTATAGGCGCTATATTATTATTATTTCACCGTTATATTCTCGAAATAATACGATGTAGAATTATAAAACAAATATTATTTGCAGAATTCTATATTTATATAAATTTATGTCGACTAAACGTAATATAAACTTACAAATTTTTCTAAAAAAAAAAAAAAAAAAAAATTTCGTACTCCGATACTCTAAAAATTGATTTTGAAAATCTTAAAATACAAATGGTTGTTTGTTAACAAATCGAGATTTGTTATTTTTCTTAAAAAATTTATAATAAAAAAAAAAAAAATCTGCGACATTAGCTTATTACATCCTCAATATTCCATTAAATATTCACGAGAACAAATTAAGAAATGATATAGGAAAGCGTAATATTAAGAGTTTTAGGAAAAGAAAGTAAACTCGACACTAGGATCGTCACTGCTTTGTTTTTGTGCAGTTGCTTCTTCGATGTTTTGTAAAAATGCACGTATAAAAGGAAAAACAGCGTAAAGAGGATGAGAAAGGAATGAAGAAAAAAAAATGTAATACGAACTTTTTAAAAAAGAAGAGAAAATAATCTGGCTGCTAATTGAAATACTTTAGACACCTAAGCTTGGATATCTTGTAAAAATGCCATTTTTGTACTGTTACGTCAGAAAATTAGATGACGATGGCGCTCCAATGTTGTAGCATGGAAAACATTTTTTAATAAAACATTTTTCATACGGACACTAATTGAAGTGATTTACTCTTTTATTAATTTTTTGTAAATTAATTTTATATGTTAATCCAATCGTATAAGCGCCCTCGGATACTTAAAAAAATTTCAATTAATTGAGCACTGCGAGAGAAGCCTATATCAGAGCTTCATTAATATTTCATTAATATTAATTTACATTAATTAATTATTTTGATTTATTTTTAAGTTTAATGGGACTCTGATTGTTCGATCAACGAAATCATCCCATAAACGTATGTGCATTTGTGTGTTGGTGATCAATGGTAAGAGATACAAAACAGAAGTCATATAGTTTGTATTTATAAATAATAGAAATTATTCGAGTATCGATATAAAGTGTCGAAGTTATTCATAGTTTTATTTTAATAATTCATTTACTTCTTAAATAGTTAAAAATCTACTTTATCTATTGAATATATATATATATATATATATATATATATCTAAATTATTATTTATCACTATAATAGTAAAATAATCAGAAAAATTATAATTCCTTTTTCATTACGAGAGCTAAAAAGTAAGGTTAAAGTTTATAAATTTATGCGTCATTCCATTATCACATTTGCCAATATTAAATAGAAAATATTAAGATTTCCCAGAGAGCATACGGACTTTGTATAATTCTATTTCTATAGTAATATTGGCTTCGGTTTTCTCACAAGTTAATATTGAAATGCGCGCAAAAATTTCTAATCTTCTTATCATTGAAATAAATGAAAGAGCAATTCTCGATTTATAATAATTATTTATGATAAATAAAATTTAATTTGGTCCAAAGACAAAAATTATCAAAGTATAATTTTCTTTAACATAGAAAAGAAATATTTGTAAATTTGAAAAGAGTAAACTACAATTCCTATCTCTTTGTGTTAAATAGTTTTGGAAATTCTTTACGGCAAATTCGTAATATCAAATATGCATTTCAAATACTTAATATAAAAAAATGTTTAAGGCCCCGATGATTATTCCTTATCAGTCGATAATCATCGGTTAATCATTTTTCATGTGTTTGTAATTTTATTTTCAGTTGCATGTTCGCTAGTGCATAATAACATCGACCAATAGGATAATAAAAAAAAATATGTTTACTTACAGCAAAGAAGAAAACGAGTGTTTGGCAAATACAAAAACGGCTAAGCTGGAGAGGGGAGTGCGGAAGTATTCGGGTTTCAGATTTTATTATACACCGTCTTGGCGATTTAAGCGGGCCACGACAGGTTTTTTTGAGGGTGGCAGGAGAGAAAGGGAGAGGGAGAGGGAGAGAGAGAGAGAGAGAGAGAGAGAGAGAGAGAGAGAGAGAGGAAACCGAAGAAGACGATAAACCTCAAGCTTAGGTGTATGGGGACTTACCACGTAATGCGGCGATAAATTGAATTCCTTGTCCTTTATTTCTCGAATGCTTAAATTTTTTTATACTTGTTTGATGCGCGGATTTAACGGGTTTCAACGTCCGAAGGGTTAACGTGTTATTAGAATCAAGGGAATGAAAATGCACGGATATTAAATGATGGACTCTATTACACAAATGTATTGGAATTTCCATTTTCAAGTGTGGGAAATTTCGAGTTGTGCCTTCATAGTTTAAGGATATTTTTATTTCATGTGCCAAGTATTATTCCACATATTTGCCGTATTAGTGGCTTAACGCCAATCAACTCCCTTTATGATTGAAATTGTTTTCATAAAATTTATACCTTCTGCTTCCCTTAACGTTTCGTAAAACTATAATCTTATATAAACTATAAATCTTGGATGTAGAAGAAATATTTAACATTAACTATCATTTCAATAACTATAATTTGAAATACGTAATAAAAATTTAGTTCTCTGTCAATGTTTTGCAAGATAAAAATCTCATTTAATCTGATTAATTATAATTTTTATTTGAACAGTAAAAATTATACATGGATGCTTCATTGTTTCATTATTAATAACTGACTGAGGTATTTTTAGGATTTTATTATAATTTAGTGGATAAACATTGTATGAATTAAAATGAATAATTACCAAATAATATTTATCAACGAATAATTAAAAATAATGTTTGACACACACACACACACACACACACACACACACACGACGACACACACGCACCTATAAATAAATATATATATATATATATATATATACATGCATGCATACATACATACATGCATACGTATACTTGTTAATCGTCTTTTTAAGTTTAGTCTGCACATATTCATCAATTGGTAAGTGCATATATTATTATTATTATTATATAATATATGTGATGGTATCAGTACTCACATTACATTCAATATTTGCGTATAGTGAGTTAAAAAAATAAAAAAAATCTATATTTCTAAAACATATCTATCTTATTAATAGCAGTAAAGTTTGCATTACTAGTTAATGTTGCAATAATAACAGCATACATTTAACAAACAACAACAACAGTAATAATTTTAAATATAATAAGCTGCAAGTTTGAATGCGTAAGACACAGATTAAAATGAATCTACTATAGATTATAGCAATCTCTACTAATACAACTTTTTCATTACAGTTGTGTTGGAAATGGAAAAATACGAAAGATCGAATAGATATTAATTAACGAAATATCGTTAAATTCAATATCATTGTTTAAGTCTATTATTTTTATCTATTTTTATGGTTCGTTTATCATTTGAGCTTCAACGGATCTCAAATTATTTAAACAAAAATAATCTTCTAAATTTTAAAATGTTGAATATTCGATATTTTAATTACTTGGTGCTTAAAATTAACAACTCGACAAGAATATTAAGCATGTTTAATGTTTATTATTTCATGCAGCTTTTATAAAATTCCCTTATAAAATATTTTAGAATTTATTTGTATAATATTTTCTTACAGCCCGTAGGTATATTAGAAATATCTTTTGCTATGAAAAATTGCTAAATTTGTTTAAGAAGTAACGTATATTTAAACAATTTTCATTTTATAAATAACTATTGTTATTGAATTTTAATTTCAAAACTTTTAGGGTTTAATTGTTATTAAACTCAGAGATAATGAATTGAAAAACATTTTTAATTTATTATATTAGCTAATGAGATCCAATTTGTGTGATCGTAGAGGTAAGAAATTGGTATTGTACGGTTATTGGAATTTTATTTCATTGAAAATTAACTATTTCAATTATTACATTCTCATGATAATAAACAAAAAGTTGCTTATGTGGAAATGCAGAATTTTTACAAGTTGTTTAAAATTTATAAGTGTAAATAGTTTTGTAAGGAAATTGTAAATTACAAGTTAATTTGTAAATTTTTCTTTTTCCTTTGATAAGTTTAAAAAATAAAATCGTAAAATGCCAAGTTCAACTCGAGTTAAATTTATTAATTTCAATTTTCATTTAATTAACAACAAGCTAAATATTCCATTAATTTATATAATTGCATGAATGTGGATAATATAAAAAAAAGGATGTAAATATTAGTCTCTAATAAATTTACAATTATTAATAATAATTAAATTATTAAATTGTAAGCCCACAATCAGAAAGCAATCTTTTCAAATCTTTTCAATTAATCCATAATCAGACCTAATGAAATAATTGTAGTCGATATATGTATATATACACATTTTATATAATTTCTTTTATAATTTATTATTAATAATTCTTAGTCAAGTGATTCTGTATGCCTATTACATAATTACTTTATTGGAATAGTAATCCTTCATAAAAGACAAATATATTATCCGATTAAATTTAATCGATAATGTCTCGTTCTCCAATTGATGGTTTAAATAATTTTAATAAGAATTTTTAAGAGTATGATAAGACGAAGCTATGAATAAGAATGTAAAGATCGATTTCCAGAACAGATTTTATAATTTTTCGTTAATTTAATCTAACTTATTCAGTTTTTCGTTTGAATTATTATACAGCTGAATAGATATACGCGTGTATTTACAATAAAATGCCTATCTGGTAAAGGTTTGCTTTCTTTACACATAAAAATTAACTAACAAATGAAAAAATTGTTATTAATTTGCTAGGAGTTGCTTAAAACTTTAAAGTTTTGACGATACCGTTGAATTTCTCGAAGAAGGTCTACTGTTATCCTTTGAATCCAATTTTTTATCTAACCTAAAATTAAAATTGAAATATCAAATAATACTATAAAAATTATTGCAATTATTTTAAGTATGGCAATGTGTAGGTGAAATTAGGTGGCGAATGTTGTACATTTTATTTACTTTATATATAATCTATTGGTCAATGGTTTATTAAAAAATTTTTTAAAACTATTATTAGTAAGCTGCGTAACCGTAAGTACTGATTTTTCTGCATAATTATAAAATAATCAAAATTACGAAGAATTCATTGGTAAATAATGAAACCTTATCTTTTAAATAAACCGTTATTATTCTTAATTATACTCTAAATGTTAAAAGCATTATGAATAAAATTAAAAATACATGTAGAGAGAAGAATCTTTAACGGTCCCTTCAAAATTTTCCCGTTTAATCTTTGCTAATAATTAAGAATTACTTTAGTGGTAAAATGAAAAGGCAGAATGACGTAGAAAAAATATAGCATAGTTTTTTTTTCCTTCACATGCCTCAGCAGAAACTCTCATATGAAATCACATAAAAACCTTTAAAGTTTAGCCCACTTGTGCATTATTAAACCTTACACAATACTTGTACATAACTAATACATATAATTCCGAGTTATCATGATAATAAGGAGAATATTAGCTTTACCGTATGGAAAGATCGCATTTATCGCGCTAATTAAGGTCCATTGGTTCTATCGCTTTGCAGCTCGAGACATAAATCAAACACGTAAAGAGAAGGAACGGTGAAGAGACATAATACGTACCCGTTGCTTTTCGAGCTCCGCTTAAACATGTTCGACAACTTTTTCTTCAGATTCTTCTTATCTTTTTTCGTGTTCTCAATAAGACTCGTCTCCGATGCTGAAGTCTAGAAGGAAAATTTTATTTATATAAACATAATTAGAAACATCGGGCCTTAACGTATCGAACTTCTGGCAAAACTCTAATCAATTCTTATGTCACAAAGGTCGGAAATTGTATGTAAAAATACTAAATGGTAAAAAAATATAGTAGAAAACTTCTGTGAACTAGTAAGTTATATCATTTGCTACTATAAGAAGGAAACAAGAATAGTAATGTAAATTGCAAAGCTTTAATTATTTTAAGGAGGAATTTAATTTGAAGTTTAGTGAGTGTCCAATCCAAGGTTTTACATTGCATTTTACATTGGATGAAGTATGTGTACATTGTTATACATGTAATCCAATTTTATAAATTTAAATGAATTTTTAAGGATCTTTTCAATTTCTTTTTTTTTTTTTTTTTTTTTTTTTTTTTTTTTTTTTTTTTTTTTGTCAATTTCATGACAATCAACGTTACTTGAACAATAAATAAATTTATATGTTATTTTTTAACAATTGAGCACGTGCAATATTATTTCAGACATATTTTTGTGTGCAATAAAACATCTAAATCACAAAAATTATGTGTTAAAACATGAGGTTTATTATAAACATTGTTTAATTTTATATTATTGTTCATTTATTTTTGAACATTTCTCAACGTCTGTTAGCGTTAAAAAGCAATATAATCACGAGACATCAAGTTTTATAAAATCAATTTTGTAATTCGATATCGTTTATTATTTTTTATATATTTTTAAATTATGACAGCAACTTTATAATCCATTATATTTACATAAACTATAAAATATTCGTAATGTAAATATGTATATGCAATAATTAAACACATTTTACATACATAAATAGGGATAATAATATTGATATTAATTTATGCAAGAAATGGAATTATTCGTTTGTGTATTAAAAACATTTATTTATAGTATCGTATATTGAAAAATTATTATGTGCTTATATAATGTATTTTAATAATATGGCTTTCAATGTATGTAATAAACTTTAAAAATTGTATACAAGATGGTAATTAAGATGCAATCCTAATTTAATCATTCCATTTAATCAATCCGACATTTTATATAATTTTATATCATTATGTAAGAAATGTACAGTTTTTACCAAGTTTTTTACTTTTCTCTTTTTTCTTTTTTCATTTTCTTTTTCACTAAACAGCATGTAAACAAACAAGATGAATCTATAAAAATTCATTTAAAATGAAAATTTTAATGCTCGAACGGATGATGTTTTATGTACTCGGAACCATAACACAAATGGGATTTACATAAAACAAATGTATTAACTACAAAAAATTCCAAATTTTTTAACACTACATTATTTTATCTATCTAACATGTTGAACTTAACCAATAATTCGACTCCGTCAAATATTTCTTCAGTTAAAGTTGCAACTCTATATAGTTACCATTTTTATTAATATGAATACCTTAAGTTTTTTGGTACTCAAATTTCTATCCAACTTTCAGTTGAGTAATTTATTGCCTATAGGACTTTTATCGTTGGATGTACGATTAAAGTATTGAATTATTACTTTATAAGAAAAAATTCGATATTTGAAATACATCTTTAATAGTTGAAAAACGTACCAATACAATCTATTATATATTTTTATCAGTTACTTTCTAATATAAAATGAGCATAAAAAAAAATACTTGTAATGTATTATATATATAAAAAAAAAAAAAAAAAAAAAAAAAAAAAAAAAAAAAATAATAATAATAATAATGAATATTAATTTCATTAATGCAGTAAAATATTTAACGTATTTCACTTTGATTTATTTCAACCGTTACACAATAATTTTTCACTAAAGTCATTATGTTTTTTTTTTCTAAGTAAATTACATCTTCTCTTAGCCTTGCAAGTCATTTATTCCAAAAAACGTAACAGTCGTATGGACTAAAATCACAAAAATATTTTTTGATGATTTAATTAATAATTTCATCGATTATTATGTAAATAAATAGACAACCAAAATTTTTGTATATTAATTTTTTGTTATCGTTCATTTACCTGAAGCGATGATTCGAGTGAACTATTTGAATCTTCGACACTTGCTGATTTTGTTAATTTCGTAGTAATTCTACGAATTATTCCTTTGCTGTATTTCTTCTCATGACGTAGAATTTCACTTTTAGTAGATTCGTTCGATAAATGACTGTTAAAGAATATAATTATTAAATCATTATTATTATTAATCGTTAAGGCAAATATTCTACTATAATAGGGAATAATTATGTTTTTTAAAAATGATGAAAAGAAAAAATTTAACATTTTCGTTTTATTAATCATCAAATAATAATATTAGGATATTATATGGATTGATATTTAAAATAAATAAAGCAGTCGAGATGTTTTAAATTATATATGCATATATTTACCTAATGGCTTAATTATAATTTATACTTTTTATCTTTACTTTAATTATAATTTGTCCATCATATTTTTAATATGCAATAAGTGTTGGAGAAAAATAATATAAATACTTGCCTCTCAATACTGGAGTCTCGCTGGAGATTATAATGACGATTATCCACGTCAGATCCATTGAGAGATTGTAAACTTGAAACGTTACTATTATTTCTCCAAATCGACTACAAAAAGCAGAAATAAATCATTAAATTAAATTACGAACGGCAAATGAACTATAAAGAGGAATAATGAAGATACTTGTTCATGCTTTCCTGACGTTTGTTCCAATGACAGACTTTTTCTTTTTAAACTTGGTTTGGAACGAGTTGAAATACTATTTTTTTCGGTATTGTCTATCGACGATGACCTGCTCGAGAAAAAACAATAAAATGTTTATCTCAAAATATTTACTAATTTGAATTTCTATCTCCCTCTATAAAAGATATCGATTTGAAATATTTGAATGATATTTTTAAAATATTTTAAAAATTCTTAATGCCTAGTAACTCTAGAATCATTATAATTAATTTAATGACATTTTGGATTACTTCTGACTTTGTTAATTCTATGATATTAAAGTATATAAATAATCATGTTTAAACTTGTGTCGAACCAATGATTCTCATTATGGAATTATATCACACTGATTTATTTATTAATTTAAAGCACCTATAGTTCAATAAAAATTATTTTTAAGCACGATAATATATCATTGAATTATACATAGAAATTAATCCTGATGAAAGTTTGTAAATAAATTTAAATATTACTTACAATACATTATTAAATTACTAAGAAATATTATAGATAATATTAGTCTTTTTCCTCAATCATGAAATAGTAATTTATTATTTTTTTTTTTTTAAATTGATTATAATATATATATATATATATATATATATATATATATAATGTATCATATTTTATATAGTTTGTGAAAATCGCTAACCGTTTTCCCAATTTTTTAGAACGAGTTGCACTTTCGTCAGCAGCTCTTTTGCTCTCCTGCAATTCCTTGGCTACTTCCATTAATTTGTTAATGGTATATTCTAATTTTTCCGTCTTTGCAGTGGGTATAAACAAATTTGCTAAAAATTTACATTATAAATTATTATCCAGCTCATTTTTCATCGAATCTAATCTCATTATTATTATTATTAAATGCATACTCTTGCTATCGTCCTTCGAATCCAACATTGGCGACGATTCTCTGGATTTAGGCCCCTACGGAAATTTAAACAATAGATAATATAAAATATTTATAACAAGTAAATGTTTTTTATAGCGATTATCTCCATAAACCTAAACGTTTCATGATCTTTCTTATCATCTTTATACTTATATATAAGGAATATCATACCTATGGTTTCATTAATTTTTGGCTTAGAAATTTGTTTTTAAACTATTATCCATGAAATATGCATATATATTTTTTATTTATCAAGTTACAATAGGGAACATATGAATAAGAATAAAAATAAATAATATCTGAATAAATAATATTTATTCAGATATTAATATTTTTATATATTTATTTTTTTTGTTTTGTTTTTTTTTGTTTTTTTTTATTTTTTGTTTGTTTTGCTTTTTTCTTCTTCTTATTATTAAATTATATGTAAAAAGCCAAGTTAAATAAGTGTTAAACTGTATAATTAATATAATTAATCAATATAATTAATATTAAGATTAAAAACATTTTTAATCGATAATTTTCTATGAAAAATTTATCGATGACTAAATTAGACTATGAATTACTAAAGCTTTTCATTTTTTATTCAAACATTACTCTATAAAATAAAAAACAACAAAAACAAAAATTAAAATACTATAAAGTTGATTTGTCGATCCGATTAATAAAGAGATTTGTTGCAGGATTCGATAGACTTTCAGATTGGAAAATAAACAAGAAAATGAAAATGCATTATATCATCCTCCGGCCTTCGATAGGCAAATATACAAATGCGCTTGTGAAAAATGTAATCTACAATCCTTGGCGGAACATTTAAGTTTGTTGAAAATTTCTTTAGCGTTTAATTTCCAATTTCGCGCGTCTCCCAGCAGAGGAGCACAATCGCTTTATTAATCGCTCTCCTCTAATTTCAAACGATACCTTGAGTCTTCTCGGCGGTGTTGGTGTGTAAATTTCAGGCGACTGCTGCCCCTGGACCCCATTTATCTCCGGGAAGAGCCTCATAAGATCGTCGACCTGCTGGAGGAGGATGTTGAGGTTGCGTGCCTCTGTCTGCTCTTGGCGGCGTTTGCTGGTCAACATCCCACGAAGATCTTCCCGCTCCCGATCCTGGCGCTCCTTTTCCCGACGCATCTTCTCGTTGCTCGTGCGCAACTTTGCATGTGCATCGCGCAACTCCAGCAGATCGCACTGCAACTGTCACGACGATTCGGGTTATTATTGGCAATGCATTTATTACATGACAACTGCCAAGTCTTAAGACTAATTCTTAAGAATAATTACAAAACCATAACTCACTGGCCATTCCAATGTTTCTTAACACGACTTATGAATTATACCTTCACTCTGCACATATACAAGCAATAATACGTGTGCATCGGGTTTATCTCAATATCATTGCATTTAATTCGATATTTTTCGTAATATTTTTCCCGTTCAATGCTAAAGTACGACGGTTGCGTTAGAATTCATCCTATTTGGATAATCATGAAATTTTCTTTCAATATAAAAATCACTCGATACGCACGTTTACCTTTAGCTTTATTTTTAGCGTTTTAATACTCTTCAATTATAAATTGCAAATATCAATATCTTGTTTCGTCGGACAATATTATTATCGACTAATTAAATAATCCATTGAATTATGTTATTAAAACAAAAGCAAACAAAACAAATATTACTTAAAAGTTTAAATTAAATGCTTAAAATAATGATGCCATCATCATTTAATTAACCCTTAAAGTATAAACGTGAAATTTTTTTTTTTTTTTAACTACATTTGCTAAGTCGCGAAGGCATATAAGTTGGAGGATGATGTGATAATTTTGTAATGAAATTATTTTTATTTCGTTTGATTACATTTATATAATGAAAGCTTCTCTTAAACTCGATTAATAATTTAAAAACTACTAATAAATCAACAATTTCCATAGCTTTTAAATAAATTATATATATAATTGTTTTTTTTTTTTTTTTTTTTTTTTTTTAAAAAAAAAAAAAAATTATATATATAATTTTTTTTTTTTTTTAAAAAAAAAAAAAAATTATATATATAATTTTTTTTTTTTTTTAAGTCAATGAAAATTATATTTCAGATATTTAATAATAATAATAATAATAATAATAATAATAATGTATCTAATGATTTAATTGAAACCTTAATAGAATAGTTGAAATACATGCATATTTTTATAGCTTTTTTTTTTATAATTTTTATCGCTTTAAATATTGCAGCAATATTTAATATAATTAAAAAATTAATTAAAAATTAATTTACATTTAAAACACGACATACTCGCATAAAATGAGTAATAATCAATTTTTTATTCTTACCTCGATAAGCTTCTTCTTATTTTCATCCTTCTCTTCGTCAAATATTTTCTTCAATTGATCTTGTCTTCTCTTGTTCTCCAAACGCTCCTTATCACGTTCTCTCTCCACCTAGAGCAATATGATAACTTCACAATTTGTACAATGAATAAATACATTGACTTTCTTTACTTTATAGTGAATTCTTGAATTTCGTCGGCATAAATTGCCGCTCGCTTTTAAAATTCTTCTAAAAGTTAAAATACCAATGTAATAGGCAAATAAAAAATATATGCACAGAGCAAAATAGATGTACTAGAAAATATTGGCAATGTAGAATGGAGCGGTACCCGATTGGAATTACATCAAGTCATCGAAGCGATTGCATACCTCAAAGAGCGTTTGTCTGAGGTCGCGGGCGAGCGTCGCCGTTTCCTGTAGGAGGCGCTGCTGATCTTCGCGCTCCTTCTGCCAAGCCAACTCCATCCGCACCTTCATCCCCGGCATTTTTGTCCGCCCGCTTGCCAACAGCCTCTCCTCCTCCAGCTGCGAGGGACTCGATTCGATTATTAATTCAATTTATTTTTCACTTACTCAGCGATTGTTAGGCATATCAGGGAATAAATAATTTATTAATCGCGCCGTTAATATGTGTGATATATTAGCTTTTTCGATCGAGCTATCTCTCTCTCTCTCTCTCTCTCTCCCTCTCCCTCTCTCGCCAGTTTCTTTACTATCAAAACGACACAATGGTATTGTGCGTATGTTAAAAGTAAAGAAAACTATTAGTCGAGCTAATAAGAGAGACGGGATTTTTGTTTATACATTCAAGTCATTTGTACAGTGCCAATTGACTCGAATGAATCTTGAATGAATGAAACCAATACATAACATTTGTATGTTATAATGTGTTTTTTGTATGAAATTGAAAATAGGCATATTTACCCGTATATTTTTTGTTTATTCTTTAAGAAATTAATGCAAGTAAGTGCAAGAATTTGCGCAAGGAATTTG